AAAGAAAAACCGAATTTGTGCTGACTTTTCGACAGGCTTAAATGATTGTGTGAAAGAACATGCGTACCCTATACCATCTCCGGAGGATATATTCACTAAATTAAACGGAGGTAGAGTGTTTTCAAAGTTGGACTTGTCGGAGCCTCACCTTCAGGTTATAGTCAGGGAAGAATGTTCGAAGTACCTGACAATAAACACGCATAAAGAGATATTTAAACTAAATCGTCTTCCTTTTGGATTGAAGGTAGCTCCAAGCCTATTCCAGCAAATAATGGACACAATGTTGGCTGGTATGGAGTATGCGATCGCATATTTAGATGATATTTTGATTAAAAGTGAAAACGAGGCCCAACACAAAACGCATATTAGAGCGGTATTTCAGAGAATTGAGGAATACGGGTTCAAGCTGAGTGCTGAAAAAATGCGAGTTCTTCTTAAAGAAGATAAAATATTTAGGACAGATCATTGACAGTAAAAGAAAGAAAAACGGATCCAGAAAGGTCTGAGGCTATAGAGAATATGCCAGCACCTGATAATGTGGTTAAACTCCAGGCCTTCTTGGGATTAGTAAGTTACTATAGCATTTATATCCCAAAAATGTATGATATGAGATCTCCTTTAAATAACTTTGGTGAAAAAGGGCGCAAAGTGGATATGGTTGAAAGAATGCGAACAGACTTTAAAAAAACAAAAAGAAGCAGTCTATTAGCAGACTTATCGTTAGAGCATTCAACCCGAAGATAAAAATCATTGTAGCAGAAGATGCCAGTAACGAGGGACTAGGTGCGGCATTGTTTCATAAATTCGAGGACGGATCTACGAAGCCAGTAGCACATGCCTCGAGAACGTTACTGCCCGCGGAACGAAGTTACAGTCAGATCGAAAAATTAGATTATTGCTCAACTCACTTTTGTGAGTTTAACAATAATCTACGCTGTAAAAAATTTCACAGGTTTCTATACGGAAGAAAATTTATTCTGCAAACAGACCACAAACCGCTGTTAACAATGTTTGGTTCAAAACAAGGTATGCCAACTAACACGGCAAATCGACTACAGCGTTGGGGTATAATTCTACTTAATTAAAATTTCAAAATAGAATATCTGCCTTCAAAGAAGCGAGGTCACGCCAATGGGTTATCAAGATTGATACCTAAATATACGAAACCACTGGAAGAAACAGTAATAGCGGCGCTAAGAGACAAAAGTGAATTGTCGGGTCTGTTATGCAACACTATTAGAGAACTACCGGTTACGCTAGAAGACGTGAAAAAAGCAGCGGTGAACGATGATTCATTAAAAAAATGAAAAAGCAAGTCTGGTTGAAAGAGAAAACTAAAAAAGAAATTAGCGTGTCACCTTTTTCAATCTGCGACCAGGTATTACTATACGCAGATAGAGTTGTAATGCCGGTTACTCTGCAGAAGAAAGTTCTGAAGAATTCCCCACTGGCCAACCAAGGATTTCGAGAATGACATCTCTAATGAGAGGCTATACTTATTGGCCGAGGATGGACCAAGACATAGAAAATTTGGTGAAACAGTGCAGAGGATGTCAAATGGCAGCAAGGGATCCTCCGGTAAAGATTCAACCATGGCCAAAGACAGATGTTCCATGGACTTGATTACATATCGACTATGTATGTATCTTATTACCTGATCACTGTGGACAGTTTCACTAAATGGCCAGAAATTGTTAGGTGCAAACATCCGACTGCAAGATCGAATGGGCAGGCGAAAAAATTCGTGGACACCATTAAACGAGCGTTGAAGGAAAAAACCAAGGCATGGGCACGAATGAAAGAAGTATTCAGAAAATTTTGGCAGTATATAGAATCACGCCAAGCCCAAATATGACGTCAGGGTTATCACTAGCAGAGCTAATGTTTGCGAAAAAAATATGCTCTGTGTTCAACAAGCTGTTGCCTAGTCCGGCGAAAAAACTGCTAAAAAAGAAAATCAGATGACTAAAGCGTATAAGCCAGGGGACAATTTTTTTTTCAAAAACTTTAGGGCTGGAAAAATGTATGGGGAAGAAACAATGACAACCAAAAGAATTGGACAGGTCATATATGATATAAAAGGGGAACATTTCGATGCAAAAGACATTGGAATCAATTGAGACCCAGACACACTTCAGAGGTCATGGAAAGTACCGAAGAGATTCCAATGGAAGTCCTGTATGATGCATTTGAAATTCCTATTCCAGTAAGTCAACATTCGCCAATGGAGGTATCCCCGACCTCAAGGTCAGAGGTACCAGTGTGTCAAACGCCACCACAGCAAGGAGGATTGAGGCGAAAAAGACTTAGGAACGAAATCAATCGATTAAGTCCAGACCCTAAAAAGAGAAAATATTGAAGTTAAATTTCACGAAAAAATTTAATGAATATGCATACACCTGGGTTCCCGCTCACAGTAATATGATTGGCTGCTGTCAGCCATAAATACAGACTGATATGGACGTACAAGAGGACGCCTATTGGCTACGCCTATTGGCTACCACTACAACAAGCACCAGTCGATTACAGTTACCTGCTAGATTGTCCTACCCGGTTACAGTAGTCAACAATCACTTTGCTACTTCGAACAAATATATCCCTTTCCGGAACATATCAGTTGACAGAGTTAATGGAAAAAGTACAAACAAACTGACAATCTGAAAATCAGCAAGAGATTTAGCAATCTCTCTACTAAAGAATGCTATATAACAGCCAAGGAACGTAAACCGGATTTGGAAGTTAATCTTCTGAGCAAGATTATCAAACCAACTAGGCCAGAAATTGGTAAAATTAGCAAGATTATCCTTGATAATGTGAACAAGCTGATTAAAAAGCGCTTTGAACTTGTACAATGAGTTAATACCATAGACGGCATCAATGTTTAATGATATAAATGATAAACGGAATTGTTCCTTGATCCAGTTCGATATTGTGGATTATTACACATCTATTTCCTTTTGCTTTGGAATTTGCTATGGAGTACACTGATCGTTCCATTCGTGGATTAAGAACACTTTTGTTGATCAATTCGATATTTCCATGGGCTCGTTAGACTCTGCCGAGTCTTCCGACTTTGTTAGTTTATTTATCGTATATAATGTTAGAGCCCACCAACATTACAACATTGATTACATAGGGTTATATAGAAATGATGGACTTATGGTGGTGAAAAATTCCACGAAAACTAAAGCTGACAAAATCAGTAAACTAATATCTAGAGAATTTAAAAGTATCAACCTTAAGGTTTAGATTAACACTAATTTAAAAAAAAAGTATATTTCCTTGATGTTACATAAGGTCTAGTTAATAATGTATTCCATCACTACATGAAAACAAACGCTAATCCAACATATATCCACCCAAATTCTAACCACCCTCGATTCCTAATCAAAAACATACCCTCCTTCATAGAATATAGAATTAGCAATAACACTTCCTGTGAAAATATCTTTTACAAACATAGTAAATTCTGTAATACTGCCTTATAAAATAGTGTGACTATAAGTGCCCTGACATCAATATATAAAAATATAACGGCGATAGTAGGAATAAAAATAGAAACAAAAACATCATTTGGTACACACCCGTTTCACCAAACGGTTAGTACTAAGTTAGGGAAGATGTTTCTCCATTTTATTGAGAAACACTTAACCAGAATTAATTCAATGAGTAAGAATTTTAATATTGATGAATCCAGTCCGTTTGAACCTCGAGTCCTAAAAATGATTTCTCCAGAGACAGGAATATCTACATATTATATGTGAAACACGTCTTTTCTTTTTCTCCTTACACTTTGCTATGCTGTGTTATACATGAGATAAATTATTTTCTGCGTGGGAATATATATATATATATATAGAGAGAGAGAGAGAGGCATGTGTAAATGCAATCGTCAGGCCTGACGATTGCATATAGCATGAAACAGACTGTCGCCCTAAGTGTTGACTTCTATGTTCACTTTTATATTTACACACGCTCTATCTCTGATATCGATCACTTTATCCCATAAATATAGCACACCATAAGACTATATTTCTTCATATATATATATATATATATATATATATATATATATATATATATATATATATATATATACACGAACACACACACATATATATGTGTGTTCGTGTGTTCATTATTTGGAATTTTCACCATTCAATTGGAACACTTTATGTTAAAATCAGCCCTCACGAAAATGAACATTATTAACAACAATTGGGTGCAACTGAAGCATATACCCAAATGGAGGGGTTAACAATTTGAATGGGGGTGACACTGAAGAGGGCTGTTTTTCGCGTTGTCAATCTTGTTTTACCCTCATGAACAGCAGAATTTGAAGAGGCGTTTCTCCTCACCCGTTGAGTCATTTGATCAACATTTTCAGCCACGTGCGCAGAAGCGTTCAGGTATGCTCTTCTGGAAAGCGGATGGCTACATCTTCGGACTCAGTGGCTCTTACTGAAGCATTCCGAGAGGAATTTTGAGACAGGCGAACTGAACGTTCTAAAGACGATCGTTATCTCTTATTCGCATGGCGGACCTGGCGGCAGCGGTTTTGCGACTTAAGCAAGTTCTTTTCTTTGGTGGCATGTCTTAGGCAAGTATGAATTGTCAAATGGGACGCTGAAAAGCTACAGGGATCACTAAGGACGAATAACTTTAGGAAAGGTTGGAAAAATAAATGTTGAGTAATAAAAAAGCAAGCTTAATTATTACTACGGTGAATGCAATACAAAAACTGGTAGGACAATAAACAATTTAAATTGGGAACAGCTATGAACGACAATGAAAGCAACGCCTTAAAACCCTCGAAGTAGGATTTATGCAACGGAAAAGGTAACTTGAGAGAGATTGACGTTTGGCCAAGAGAAGTGGAATATTTAAGCAGGGATGAACGTACAGGAGTAGTAGCGGAATTTCTGAAAAAAGCGGTAGCTTAGAACTGTGTAGACAATCAGTATGACACGGCGATATATGATTAGACGTGTAAAGGGGTCATGCGTATGTGCGTGCATCAGCGCGTGTGTCTGCGCGTGACACATCACGTGACACAGCGCGTATTGCAGGGCCACACGTGCACGCGTTACTGCACGGGATAATTACCAAAGTCAGCAGCAAAAGATAGGCAACGGTTGGAGGTGTGAATCACGCCCACACAGCATGAGCTAAAATTGGAATGTTATGTATTAAAAAGTAAATTAAATTTTGCCTTTGATTTTTACGTAATGTATAAAAAATCATTTTTTTTTTTCACCTTCAAGCTTGTAATTTTCGCAGCCAATTTTGACTAAAAACCGGCACTGAAGAATTATCTATCGAACCAAAAAAAATTTAATCGAAATCGGATGAAAACTGTAGAAAGCAACATCCGGTCACATGCCCGCACACAGACATACATACACACACACATTTTGAGAATTATAGATATAGATAATTAATTTTATAGATTTAACTGTATAATAATAAATAATATTATTGTAATAATTTAAACTATTTATTTTTATGAAAGTTTTTATGAAAGATATATATCGAAGAGCAGTAAATAGTAAAACGTTGCTGTGAATTATAATGAACAGGAAGTAGTGGAGAGCCATGTTACCAACAATTTGCACTCAAAACTGTCACTGAAGTATTATCTATCAAACAAAAGAAAATTCATCGAAATCGGATGAAAACTGTGGAAACACACAAACAAGATCCGATGACACACACAGACACACATATACACACACATTTTTAGAATTATATATATTTTCGGAATGTCGGCGACTCAACCTGGCTACCCCACTCCATATTCTCGGTTTCTTATCAAGCCAACAGGACGAAAAGTAAGACCTAACAAAGGGCGGAAGAACCCTCGATGAGTCAATGCCCAACTAACTAGAGCTAGAGCTGCTCGGCCCGGGGGCAATGATCAAAGTGTAGTACGCTGCCTTTGTGAGCTTCCGAGTCGGCATCTGTCGAACTCTCTGCATTAGCAGAGAGGAACTCGGACGAAGCTTTGCCGAAGGGCAAGGTTTCGTTCGGGGAGGTAAACAGGGCCTGAATCCGTCAAGGCGGGTTCAAAAAGGCTATATTTTTGGCCGAGCCTACGGGCTCGGGGATACCCACATTAAACCGGCCTTGTGCCACATTCTATCCTCGTGGTTGGATTGATAAATACTAACTAGAGCTAGTGTCTGCATAAACCATCGTAAAGAAGTCAACGGAAAATCATGAAATATCATGGCAAATAACACACGCATTATGAAACCTAACTGTGTGAAGAGGTTTAAGTCTATGGGAATTAACTTCTCATACGATAAGGGCCGACATGTGCAACAGGAGTCACCTGACAGTTACCCAGCGAATGCTCGCATAAACGGCGTAAAGGAGATAACATTCCTTGAAAGGTATCCCTCCGCCGGAAAGGGGCAACAGGTGTCGCCGGACCATTATACAATGACTGCTCGCATGAAACAAAAAAACTTCTGTTGAGATTCCTCATTGACTGCTGCAACATATCAGCTGGGATACTGTGAATTTCATCTTGAATTCTAAATGGCGACATGTTTACTTGCTCAAGGTCACTGTCTCGCAGTGTTGCCTCTTGCTCATGTTTGGCAATACGCACTTAAAAATTCCTGTTTTTTTGGGGTCACTCTCTCTCTTTCTTTCTCTCTCTCTCTCTCTCTCTCTATATATATATATATATATATATATATATATATATATAAAAACAATTGTAGATTTTAACACCATTCAGAAAACAAAACTAGAATTAAGGTCTTTTATATCAAATATGGCACTGGGACACTGAGAACTAGTGAACATGTTTGACAAAAGAAATATAAAAGATCAAAATTGGAGTTCCACTTGTTCTCATGTTAACGCTCTTCACAAGAGAACCTAACTGGTTTTATTGATCTCCCTGTAGCTTACAAGCACATGGTGCCATTTCTCTTTGGGAATATATCTTACCGAGATATAGAAAGAAACTCCAGTCGCAGTCCTCAATTTGCTGTTTCCTGTTCGTTGAATATGTCCTCTCCTGGGACATAGATGAATCCAGCCCGTTTTAATGTGGAGTCCTAAACATGGCTTCTGCCAAAACTGGAACATGCCCATATCAAATGCATGAACCTTCCTCTTTGTTTCTATTTGAACTCTGCTTTGGTGTGTAAATATATTTGATATATTGTTCTCTGCGTGGGACACGTATAAGTATGTATATACAGATTTGTGTATGCCTTAGTGGTACAAAAGTCACTCTTAGAATAACCATGTTTGTCATTCATTTTCCTTTCAGCCATGCCGTTCCGTCTGTAAACTACAGTGTTATTATATCACCAGTATAATAATGCCCATAGTGGGGGAAATAAAAATCAGAGAATAAATCTTTCTTCCATATCCCTCTCCCGTTACAACCCTTTTAATACACATTCTCTAGTTCAAAAAAATCTAAAGGCTTAAACTTGGGTTTATATTCTAATATATGATTCTTTTCATTCTTTCGTCTATTTTTTCCATTCCATTGCTATTTTCTTTTTCTTTCTATTTCATTAACCACGATTTTATCTCCTGAGCCGACCAAGCATAGAAATAAATACAATATGGGAACCAGTAATAAGGAGTGCCAGAGAAAAGCAATGATAACAAAGTTGCAATATGAACTCTGGTAAAGACATGAAATGATAACAGCAAAATTGCAATATGAGCACTGGTAAAAATGATGCTGAAAACATTAGGTTTATAATACTCAGAAGTTCATACCCAGATGTCCTCAAGGACACATGGCACAGTGGATAAAGGCGTTGGTTAGATCCAGTGACAGACACGGCATGGCACGTAGAACTAGAACAGTCTACCCCAGTGATCGAAATAAAGGGTTCAGTTCGAAATTCCAACCACCTGAAGAAGGCCGGAGCGTACAACGGCCGAAACGTTGTGACAAATATGGCGACAAAGATGAGGACAATAGTCTGACTAATGTAAATACTGTAGCATAAATGCGCTTGTTTTCATCTGATTTGCTCGTACAACATTAAATACTTCTTCAATCCGCCGTTCTTAAGTTCCTGCACACGTCGCAAACGTAAATCGTCCTCCTAACTGTTTCAGCCCTCTTTTATCATACCAACACCACGGTCCACTGAACAATTAGTGTTCTTCGCTTTGTCCTCAGTTACCCAGTCAAATGGCATCCTCCAGCCCGATCAATCAGCACATGACTTGCTATTGGTCGAACCCCGCTAAGCTGTACAAAACCCACCGTTACAGAATGTACACTTTTGGAATAATCTAATGTGAGGAGGGGAGATTCAAGGAACAAAAGCCGCCGCTACTGGTCGTGTATTGAGGTAAGGAATTTATTTTCCTTTGTACCAGATACAAGCCACTCTGACTCACTTGTTTCTACGTAATTGTTAACCACAGTAATGATTCTGATTTTAACTGGCCTTTTGCCAGACGTGTCTATTAAAGATCTTTATATAATTATGTATTTCCTTTTCATTTTTCATGCAACCATAAACCCTGCTGACTCACGATGACAGAAATCTATTTCAAATGTTTGCAACTTCCCCGCTATTTGCTGTTTCAAGAAAACTTTATTCATTGGCAAGTCAATAATCCACTTTGACCTCCGATTTTTCTTCTTTTATTTTCATTCTTTCCATTTGAATTTCCGCTTCCGGTTTGCCTTAAACCTCGGATTTGAAGAAAAAAAAAGTTTTTAGTCTTTCCTTCGATGTAGGTTAAAGCAAAAAGTGAAGAATAATGACAGACTGAAATGAACTGGCTTTCCGCCTCAGGGCAAAACAAAATACAACGATGTTATCTTTGGAAAGTCGGAAATAAATTCCCAGTTCATGCCGGAATTCAAATTTCGGCTTCTTAACACCGACATTTTCTTTTTTTTTTTTTTTTTTTTTTTTCTTCGAATGATTTTAATTATTTTATTGATTGCTATAATTTATTCGTTCTTTTTCATTTGGGAGTATGGTTTATTTCTTTCTTTTTTCTTTCTTTCTTTCTTTCTTTCTTTCTTTCTTTCTTTCTTTTTAGCTTTCTTTCTTTCTTTCCTTTTTCTTTCTTTCTTTGTATCTTTATTTATTTTTTTTATTCTATCTTTATCTCTTTCTATCTTTCTTTCTTTATTTATTAATTTATTAATCTTTATTTCTTTTCTTTTTTCTTTCCTTATTTCTTTCTTTATATCTTTCTTTCTTAATTTTGTTTGTTTTTGTGTTTGTGTGTGCGCGTGCGCGTGTGTGTGTTAATCTTTCTTTCATCTTCTTTTACTTTTCTCGGATTTAAGTCCGGTGCGTTTTTCTTGATTTCGAAATTTTTTTTCTTGATTTCTCTCAATTTTTATCATGCGAAATTTTTTCTTCATTTGGAATTTTTTTTTTCAGTTGTTCTATTTTTATTTTATTCTTTCTTTCTTTGTAACTTTTTGTAAATATTTTAATATTCAAATTATTTCTTTCTATTTTTACTTTCTTTTCGCTGCGATCATCTTTGTTTCATTTCTTACATCTCCATTTTCAATGCAAATGACCTACTTTAGTCTTGTCTTGTAAATTCATGAATCGAAACAACCAGTGAAATATTCAAGGTGTAATTAATCTTTCCATTCTTTTGGGAACATTAACAATATCTTATTTTCTCTGATATGTTACTTTATTTTTCATTAATATATTTAGATAAGTCTATTTTATTTATGAATTCATTAAATTCTGTTGAATTTTTCTTTCTTGCCTATTCTCATTGAGGAAAACATGTCTTGTTTCTTCTCATACGGAATGTTTTCTTTCTTTTTCTTTCTCTTTCTTTCTTTCTTTTTCTTTTTCTTTCTTTCTTTTTCAACATTTTTTTTTGCGGTTTGTCTTTTTTTCGTTTGTCTTTCTTCACTATTCTTTCTCTGTTTCTACTTTTGATAAATTGGTTATTCTTTCTTTTGGGGAATTGCTTATCCTTTCTTTTGGTGAATTGGTTATTCTTTCTTTTGGTGAATAGGTTATTCTTTCTTTTGGTGAATTGGTTATTCTTTCTTTTGGGGAATTGGTTATTCTTTCTTTTGGTAATTTTGTTATTCTTTCTTTTGGGGAATTGGTTGTTCTTTATTTGGGAAATTGGTTATTCTTTCTTTTGGGGAATTGGTTATTCTTTCTTTTGGGGAATTGGTTATTCTTTCTTTTGGTAATTTTGTTATTCTTTCTTTTGGGGAATTGGTTGTTCTTTATTTGGGGAATTGGTTATTCTTTCTTTTGGGGAATTGATTATTCTTTCTTTTGGTGAATTGGTTATTCTTTCTTTTGGTAATTTTGTTATTCTTTCTTTTGGGGAATTGATATTCTTTCTTTTGGGGAATTGGTTATTCTTTCTTTTGGTGAATTGGTATTCTTTATTTGGTGAATTGATTATTTTTTCTTTTGGTGAATTGGTTATTCTTTCTTTGGGGAATTGGTTATTCTTTCTTTTGGGGAATTGGTTATTCTTTATTTGGTAAATTGGCTATTCTTTCTTTTGGTGAATTGGTTATTCTTTATTTGGTAAATTGGCTATTCTTTCTTTTGGGGAATTGGTTATTCTTTATTTGGGGAATTGGTTATTCTTTCTTTTGGGGAATAGGTTATTTTTTCTTTTGGCAAATTGGTTATTCTTTCTTTTGGTAAATTGTTTTTTTTTTCTTTTGGTGAATTGGTTATTCTTTCTTTTGGAGAACTGGTTATTCTTTCTTTTGGTAAATTGTTTATTTTTTTCTTTTGGTGAATTGGTTATTCTTTCTTTTGGGGAATTGGTCTTTCTTTTGGGAATTACTCTATCTTTCTTTTGGTGAATTGGTGATTTTTTGTTTCGAGGAAATAATGTTTCTTTCTGTTGGGGAATTGGTCTTTCTTTCATTTGGGGAATTGGTTATTCTTTCTTTTGAGTAAATGATGTTTCTTTTTGTTGGGGATTTGGTCTTTCTTTCTTTTAGGGAATTAGTTTATCTTTCTTTTGGTGAATTGGTGATTCTTTATTTGGTAAATTGGCTATTCTTTCTTTTGGGTAATTGGTTATTCTTTATTTGGGGAATTGGTTATTCTTTCTTTTGGGGAATAGGTAATTTTTTCTTTTGGCAAATTGGTTATTCTTTCTTTTGGTAAATTGGTTATTTTTTCTTTTAGTGATTTGGTTATTCTTTCTTTTGGAGAACTGGTTATTCTTTCTTTTGGTAAATTTGTTATTTTTTCTTTTGGTGAATTGGTTATTCTTTCTTTTGGGGAATTGGTCTTTCTTTTGGGAATTACTCTATCTTTCTTTTGGTGAATTGGTGATTTTTTGTTTCGAGGAAATAATGTTTCTTTCTGTTGGGGAATTGGTCTTTCTTTCATTTGGGGAATTGGTTATTCTTTCTTTTGAGTAAATGATGTTTCTTTTTGTTGGGGATTTGGTCTTTCTTTCTTTTAGGGAATTAGTCTATCTTTCTTTTGGTGAATTGGTGATTCTTTATTTGGTAAATTGTCTATTCTTTCTTTTGGGGAATTGGTTATTCTTTATTTGGGCAATTGGTTATTCTTTCTTTTGGGGAATAGGTAATTTTTTCTTTTGGTAAATTGGTTATTCTTTCTTTTGGTGAATTGGTATTCTTTATTTGGTGAATTGATTATTCTTTCTTTTGGTGAATTGGTTATTCTTTCTTTGGGGAATTGGCTATTCTTTCTTTTGGGGAATTGGTTATTCTTTATTTGGTAAATTGGCTATTCTTTCTTTTGGTGAATTGGTTATTCTTTATTTGGTAAATTGGCTATTCTTTCTTTTGGGGAATTGGTTATTCTTTATTTGGGGAATTGGTTATTCTTTCTTTTGGGGAATAGGTTATTTTTTCTTTTGGCAAATTGGTTATTCTTTCTTTTGGTAAATTGTTTTTTTTTTCTTTTGGTGAATTGGTTATTCTTTCTTTTGGAGAACTGGTTATTCTTTCTTTTGGTAAATTGTTTATTTTTTTCTTTTGGTGAATTGGTTATTCTTTCTTTTGGGGAATTGGTCTTTCTTTTGGGAATTACTCTATCTTTCTTTTGGTGAATTGGTGATTTTTTTGTTTCGAGGAAATAATGTTTTTTCTGTTGGGGAATTGGTCTTTCTTTCATTTGGGGAATTGGTTATTCTTTCTTTTGAGTAAATGATGTTTCTTTTGTTGGGGATTTGGTCTTTCTTTCTTTTTGGAATTAGTCTATCTTTCTTTTGGTGAATTGGTGATTCTTTATTTGGTAAATTGGCTATTCTTTTCTTTTGGGTAATTGGTTATTCTTTTATTTGGGGAATTGGTTATTCTTTCTTTTTTGGGAATAGGTAATTTTTTCTTTTTGGTAAATTGGTTATTCTTTTTTTGGTAAATTGGTTATTTTTCTTTTTAGTGATTTGGTTATTCTTTCTTTTGGAGAACTGGTTATTCTTTCTTTTGGTAAATTTGTTATTTTTTCTTTTGGTGAATTGGTTATTCTTTCTTTTGGGGAATTGTCTTTCTTTTGGGAATTACTCTATCTTTCTTTTGGTGAATTGGTGATTTTTTGTTTCGAGGAAATAATGTTTCTTTCTGTTGGGAATTGGTCTTTCTTTCATTTGGGGAATTGGTTATTCTTTCTTTTGAGTAAATGATGTTTCTTTTTGTTGGGGATTTGGTCTTTCTTTCTTTTAGGGAATTAGTCTATCTTTCTTTTGGTGAATTGGTGATTCTTTGTTTTGAGAAATTACTGATTGTTTCTTTTGAAGCATTTGTCTTGTTTTCTTTTGGTGAATTAGTGATTCTTTCCTTTGGAGAATTGGTGCTTCTTTTTTTGTTGGGGAATTGGTGTTCCTTTCTTTTGAGGTATTGGTATATCTTTCTTTTGGTGAATTGGTGATTCGATCTTTTGAGGAATGTTGATTCTTTTGGTTAATTGGTATTTCTTACTTTTGCTGAATTAGAGATTCGTTCTTTTGAGGGAATGGTGATTCTTTCTTTTGGAGAATTGGTTATTCTTTTTCTGAATTGGTGATTCGTTCTTTTGGGGAATGGTCACTTTTGTGAAGTGGCGTCTCTTTCTTTTGGATAATTTGTGATTCTTTCTTTTGGTGAATTGGTGTTTCTTTCTTTTGGGGAATTGGTCTTTCTTTCTTTTGATGAAGTGGTGCTTTTTGAGAACTGGTGATTCTTTCTTTTGTTGAATTGGTGATACTTTCTTTTGGTGAATTGTTGATTTTTTCTTTTCGGAAATTGGTGTTTCTTTCTTTTGGAGCGATTCTTTCTTTTCGTTTAATTTGTTTCTTTTGTGGGTTGACTCTCTTTCCTTATTTCTTTTGTATCAATTCACTTTTAATTCTCCATTTTTACTTTTTATTATTTTCTTTTGCCATGTCTTTGTTTTTGTTTCTATTGTTGTTGTAATTTTACCTTTTACTTACTTCTGGATTTTCTCTTTGATTTCTTCATAGATTTTGGCCGATTCACCATCCTTCGTCAAGGTTTATGTATTCTTTCCTGCGTGAGTGTTTGTATCTCTGCATTCGTGCATGTATACACAGAGTGAGTTTTGTTCGCATTGACACTGTTAATCACATGTCTTCGTGTTTCGCCTCCTTCGCACATCTGTTACACCTTACCATTACCACTGATAACTAACGAACCATGCTAATTTTACACGAAAAGACGAAAGGAAACATCGAGAAGCTGTAGTGATTTTCCAAACGTAACTCAGATGTGCCACAATGCCGAAAGTATGGGGTACTCAGTGAGGATCGAACTCACTACTCAGTCGTAATAGTTCTAGCGAGACAAGCTTGCTAACCATTACACCACTTCGAGGTGCCCAAACATCGAGAAGCTGTATGTTTTTAACGAGAACGCTAAAGTATGCAGGGTGTTGCAGCAAAATCCGACACTTGAAAAAAAGAAAATGAAATAGGCAATAAAAACAAAAGTTGTATATGCAGAGACTCGACAGTTTATTTAGCAACAGTTTTGGGGAATTGGTCTTCCTTTCTTTTGAGCAATTGGTGATACTTTCTTTTGATAATGTGGTGTTTCTTTCCTTTGGTGAATTGGTTACATACTATATTATTTTTCAGTGTAACCGTCGTCAGCGGCGACGACCATCCTAAAGCGAGGGCGAAATGAGTCCATAGCGGCGAACGCCTCCACGATGGCAGGATTCAGTGAGTCAACCGTATTGTGGGCGTGCTTGTTGGTCTTAGCCTTGATTACGTCCCAGAAGAAATAGTCAAGGGTGATGCAGTCGGGTTAGGAGTTCGGCCACAAGTCCGGTGACCAGTGGTGAGAAACATTGTTGAGCAACCACGAGCGGAGTCCTGCTGGAAGATGTATGGTCGTCCGCAATCGATCTCGTCCATCCAGTTATTTACTACGCTCCTCAGCACCTCCTGGTATATCTCAGCGGTGTCTCTCAGGCCCTTTTGAGTGAGGAACGGAGGCATGACGTCCCCCTTCGGTGGAGATGACGCCAAGGACCATGACGGAAGAGGGAATCTTCGTATGCTTCACGACGGGAACCTCCTCGTTGTCTTTGCCGATCCACCTGTCGTTCTGTCTGTTGCTCGTCTTGTCCTGGATGAAATTCTTTTCATCAGAGAAGAACCTCAACATCCCGGCGGACCCGTGTTAGTGTTCGTTCAGCAAAGCCGCCACCTTGACCTTCCTCGACTCCTTGGAGGCATTTGTGATGAGCATGTCTTGAGTCTTGTTGTAGGAGGAGTAACCAATGTCCTTCTTCATCGTTTGGCAGATCGCCGACTTGTGACAGCCCATGTCAACGGCGATCTTGGCGTAGCTTTGGCTTCCATTATTGTCAACTGTCTCCATGACGGTAGCGACCATTTCGTCGGTCCTAATGGCCGAAGAACGAACGTTTGGTAGTAAACCCCCCTTGTTCTCAAACGCCTTCCACTTTTTCCAAGTGTCTAAGAACATGGTCCTGTTGAACCCAAACCAGGCCATCACTTCCACAGACTTCTTCCCGTCGCGTAAAGAAGCTACTACCGATGCTCTGAGCTCATATTCCATCCTGGAAAAGGGTAGAGAGAAAAACGTTAGTTAGTTGTCAAACTGTCGCGTATCTACATATACAACTTGTTTTTATTGTCTATTTCGTTTTCTTTTCGTCAAGTGTCGGATTTTTCTGCAACACCCTGTACTATAAAGGAAAGCAGGAAGAAAGAAAGGAA